AGAACTGCTGGCCTTCTCCCTCTGACAAGGAAGAAAAACAAGGACAGGGGTGTGTGGAGAAAACAGTGACATTCAGTTTTAATTCATTTGAACCTACTGCCAAGCTTAATTATGTAATTGAGGGAGTGAGACTGGTGTGCATCCAGCCACTTGGGCTGGGGTTCCGATGGTTACCATTCACCAGTGTTTTATTGAGAATTTTAGCAGTTACCATAAAGCATTATTAGCTGGAGCTGAACTAATCTCCCTACCCTGCCCCTCTCCAGATGTAGGTACAGAGGTTCTTGTTCTCATACTTAATTATTTGTCATTAAGGAAAGCAAATTGAAATCAAATTGAAGTCACTTTATTTTGTGGTAAATATATCATTATTCTTTAGGAGCATCTTTGCATTTTGTTTTGTTCTTCTGGATGCATGTAGCATATACCGTTTTTTGTACATAAAACTCGGGAATGCAATGTGCATGCATTTCTACAATCAGTGTTTTCCAGGGTTGCTTGAGACATTTTTACCTTTGGACTTTCATTTTGATCGGTGAAAGTGAGTATGTATGGAAAACACATAGCTCAGTAAAATATTTCATGTCTGGTGGCTTATTCTTTATTAATAACCTTATGTCAGGGGATGTAAGCACCCCTCATTGCCATGGAGTCTTCTGTAAAAGAGATATTTTGTACGAAGGCACCACTTTTCTTGCTGGACTGATGGCTCTAGAAATACACTCTTCTCAAAGTTCACCCATTCCCTCCCTGATTCAGAGAAAGCTCAGGTGTCTCTGTTTGGATTGAAGTTCAGCTCTGGAGATAGCATTGTGATTTTGTAATATCCTGTGTAATGTGTGGGGGTGAAAGGAAAGGGAGGGAGTCAGAGAAGCTGCTATGCTGGAATAGAGGTAGAGAGTCCTGAAATCAAGGGCCACCTGGCTGGGTGTCAGCATGGCTGAGCCAGACTGGGACCTTTTGGCATTTATATTGTTCGTTATAGTCAAAATGTATTAATAGACATTTTAATCAGTTGATTCCCACTCTAGTCTGAGAAGTATTAGCATCTTTCAAACATACTTTGCATTAATTTTGACAAATCTTTATTAAGCGCATGCTATGTGTCAAGTACAGCCCCGGTAACTGGGTGCATACAAATAAGTAACATTCATTAACCAAAAGTGATCTTTTTTTTCTGCCTTCAAGTTGCAATGAGCAAAGAGTAAGGGCAACATGGCATATGTGTTCCAGATTCTCTCAGTCCTTCACTTTTGGAGAACATTAGTCTATAAATTATCCACTTGCCCTCCTGAAGTTTTGATCTCTTGCATCCTGCTTGATCATTCCTATCCCTATCTGAAATTGCCAGAAACAGCCCCATAGTGGGTATGACAAATAAGGATCCGTTGAATAACTTGAACGAATCCTCTGTAGTTCCCTGGCTTCCCACTGAAATCAGCTGAGGAACACACACCTGGGCCACTTTACCAAAGATATTGTTTTACTTTCCCAGGAGTGAGAAATGGACACTGTTTTTGTTTTGTTTTGTTTTGTTTTTGTTTTAGCTCCCAAGGTGATTCTAGTGTACAGCTAAGGTTAAAAACCATGGTATCTCCTATCTTAAAACAAACCAAAACAACTCATTTGACCTCATATCACTCTCTAGCTGACCTATCTCTTAATTCTCCTTCCCAGCAAGATAACAACGAGGAGGCCTGCAAGCAATCTCTCGACCTCCTCCTCTTTCTCTCACTCTTCAACTAGTCAGGCAGGCTTCAATCCTCACCACTTCCCTGAAGCAAATCATGATTGTGCCACCCATGTTCCTAAGCACACTGGACATTTGCATACTCTCATCTTGCTCACACTGTTGGAGGCACATGGCAATTGATTTCTCTCTCGTTGGAACATCTTCTTCCCTTGGCTTTGAGACATCCTTTTCCCTTTTCAAAAGTCCCTTCCTCTCTGATTCTCCTGCAGCCTCCTTTGCAATCTCATGTTATTACCTGACACCTAAATACTGAAGTTGTTCAAGCTCCAAACCTGGGCCCTTGGTTTCTACTCACACTAGGAGTTTTTGTCTCTTTCCATCTCTGTAAATCACATATTTATGCTATTGACCTCCTAATTTATATTTCCAATCCTATCTTCTTTTCTGAGCACCAGCCTAATATATCCAACTGCTCCTTGGCATTTTTACTTAGATGTCTCAGGCGTTTCTGACTCAACCGATATTTTAATTTTCCCTCTCCCCTGTTGGATCCTCCTCCAGGCTCCCCATTTCAGTAAATCACATTGCCACCCACCCAGTGGCTTCTGCTGAAAAATCAGTAGTAATCCTTGTCATCTGTTATCTCCCTTACTCCCAAACTAGTCAATCTATCTTTAAATCCTGCTAATTCTGCCTCCAGAGTATGATTCAAATCATTCACTTTATCCCCTCCATTTTATTGCTGGCTACCATTTGTCTGGATTGCTGTAATAGCCTCTAAATCTACTCCTGATTCCATTCTTACTGCCCACCTTCTCCATAACCATTCAATTTTCAGCAAAAGCCAGTTGGAGGGATATTTTAAGAAATGCAAATCACTTCTTGCTACTGCTTCCTTAATTTTCAATGAGGAGCAATCTGTTGTTAGATTCTATCTTATATGCTTTTGTTTTCTTTCAAGGAAGGACTACCATTTGGTAATTATAGACTCATTTGTGCAGTTATTCATTTCATGTCCATTTCTCAACTCAACGCATAAGGGTGGGAAGTGGGGGGATCCCTGGGTGGCACAGCGGTTTGGCACTTGCCTTTGGCCCAGGGTGCGATCCTGGAGACCCGGGATCGAATCCCACGTCGGGCTCCTGGTGCATGGAGCCTGCTTCTCCCTCTGCCTATGTCTCTGCCTCTCTCTCTCTCACTGTGTGACTATCATAAATAAATAAATAAAAAATTTAAAAAAAAAGGGTGGGAAGTGGGCTATTCTTTTTAACTCCTTATACCATGTGCCTCGCAAAGTGCCTGAAATAGGATTTTGCTGTTGAATGAAAGAATGAGCATGTGAATGGATGAGGACGATTGATCAAAGCATGAAGCAGGAGGGGGTGCCTTGTCAAACCTCACTTAGCCCATGCTACTAAGCATGGATTCAACTACCCCAAGAATAAATGTACTGGCTGAAGAACCGCACTGAATCTGTTTGTGGAACTGTTTTATTCTGTGCCCTGACGGCAAAATCGAGGAGTTTTCAAGAATTGTGTCTTCTGCTTGTTGGGCTTCAGGAGCTACTCAAGAGAGTTTGCAAAGTGGGATTATAAAGTAGTTCATTGTGTGGTGTATTTGGCAAGGGCTTATGAGGACTTTGCTTCTAATCCTGGACCTGCCAATTAAGCAGCATGCTGGTTCAGAGTTAGTTATGCCACCTCTCTTGAGCCTCTGTTTCTGTATGTATCCATGAATGGGCATGAGGCCAGTAAGACCTGATGTCATCATTTCCCCAGGGATCAACATGTCAACCACCCAGCACATTACATGTTACATAGGAAATAATGTCTACATTTTAGTTTTACTCTCTGTTCCCCCTGACTCTCTTTCTTGATTTATTTTGTTCTTTTTCCCCTTTCTCTTTCTGCTTTTATATCCCCTATCTGACTCATCTTAGTGGGTGGTAATACTCCTATTACTCACATAGTTTGAATTTTGTAGGAAGAGAGGAATTAGTGGGACTTAACAGAACAGGCTTCCCTTTGGATGAGAAACACAAACTCACAGCTTCTCTGCCCCGCTTTTCAAGAGCATTTTATGGTACACTGCTGTGTAACAAGTTCATTTTAGGATAACATGCTGGGAGGGAGAAAAAGAAGAAGGGATTCAAAGGGAGAAAATTAAAAAGTTAATTAAAAGAAACAACTTGGTAATTGAATTCCCTCGCGCTCTTCTTTGGTGATGGGGAGGTGGGTCACAGACTGTGGTTAGTAGGCTTGCTCACCTCCAGACTTTGGAGGAGCAAGTATGAGAGTGCAGAGCAAATCCCTGCCTGACTGATGAGAAGAGGATACATACGATGGACTTTTTAGACATGCTACATTGTGATGCTACACAAAGCTGCCCACGTACTCATTCTTGAACTTTTTTATTTTGAAATATTCTTGGCAGCTGAAATATTCTAGGCTAAGCCGTGGACTAACACCAGCTAGTTTATGGGCATGGAGAATCCCCTTTCACTGATGCTGCTTCATTGATTCGAGCTATTCCTCTAGCCTCACTCTGTATACACACTCAAACAGGCAGAAGGGAAGAGAACAGTATAGGGAACTTTTTCAGATTATACTAAAGTAATAAATAAGTGACATGGGTCTTTTTTAAAATTTATTTTTAAAAGAAGTCTTGAATATTTAATTACTCTATCACAGATTGCTTAAGAGTTAAAACACTTTATTTAATATTATCATTGAGTGAGACAAGGTCCTGTAGTGCATTAGCATAGGCTTAAATATCAACTAGAACGCAATTCAGACCCTGACTCTCATTTACAACCTTTCTTCATTTACACAGTCAACATACATTTATATATCAAATGTGTATTGTGTTTCAAGCAGCGTTGAGGTTGTTGATAATAAATTTAAGTTCTATCAAGGCTTTTTATTAACATCAACTTTTTTTGAGATTTTGAAAATTAACTTTAGACATAGACTTTTCTATATTTTTCAGCATTTTGTGGTCCTCATTCTTGCAGCAAATTCACCAAAGAAAGAGGGACGTGGTTAAATAATGCATTACCTTACTCATCAAATTAGCCCAAATCAGATTGCTTACGGTTTACCTCATCTCCACAAAGCAATCTCCAGAAAATAAGGGAATTGCAGTTTTATGTTTAATGATATTGTGCTATCTTCCCTGACATGTTAAGGCCAATAGGTTGAGAGCCTTTATAGTAATTGCAAGAGTTATGAATGCAAGTGTGACCACAAGCACACCTTCCACCAAAATGACAGATGCGGTATTAACAAGGATTTTTGTGTTTTTACAGGGTATGGTTTTGTAGATTTTGACAGTCCTGCAGCTGCACAGAAAGCAGTAGCATCTCTCAAGGCAAATGGCGTGCAGGCACAGATGGCCAAGGTAAGATCAGTGTTTAGATTTTTTTTTTCCTTCTGTGATCGTGTATTTCTTCATTACTGGGAGCTGAATCAGAATTGGAGTTTGCAACAATTTGAATTATACTTACTTGTTAGGGAAGACAAGAAACCCTGTATTAGGTTTGGCTTGGAAGAACCTAGCTGGTTTATTTCATTGTTTCTTTGTATATAACTATTAATATGCTCTTTTGTTACGGCGACCTCATTAGTGCTTTAAGGACACTTGTGAAGTGCTCTATTTTACCTGATGAAGAAAGTGCATGCATATGTGTTTGTATGTGTGTGTATCTAAGGCTTTCACCAATAAACAGTTTGAGAGTAGTATGATTCTCAGCAAGTTGTCCTTGGTAAACTGCTAAAAAATTGTTCACTACCATGTCGGGGAGTGCTGAAATCAGAATGATGCAGTTGTCTGATCTATGCAGGGAAATGAATTTAACCAAAGCATACATTGTCTAGATTGTTAGAATTTCACTTCAGTCTTTATATATAGTTTTACTAGATGATAGTATCCTAGAGATTAATAACTTCTGATACTCATTTGTTGTTACGTAGAACAAGTAGTCTGGAAATTTCTATCTGAAATCATAATGCATCTGTATATTCAAGAAAATAAATAAGAGCATTTAAAATAGATTTGAATTCTGATTGCAGTGGTAGTTATAAGAATCTACACATGTGACAAAATGGCATAGAAGTATACAGGCATATCAATGTCAGTTTACTGGTTTCGATATTTTATAATAATTATGTAAGATGTAAACTTTGAGGAAACTGGGTGAAAGTGTGTGGTGGGATCTCTTTATACTGTCTTTGCAACTTGTAAATCTATGATTATTTTCAAAATTAAAAAGTTTAAGAAAATCATTTATAGCATATATATGCTTGATACATATCTGTTTTAGGTTAATGGTCATTTTGCATTTATTCACATGCAAATATATTTTAAAATAATTTTCTGATTACTATTGCTGAATTTATTTGCCTCTGGATTCTCAAAAGTTAGGTAGAAGAGCCAACAGATCTTGAAATTTAGACCTAATGCATCTGGGTCATATTCATGTATATCCTTACCCTTCACTATCTCCATAAGAACTGAGTGATATAATGACCAAGCCATAAAATTTTCAGCCATTTGGATTTTGTTTTGATTGCAAACATTTCCTGATAATATTTTCCAGTTTCAACCTGAGAGAACCAGAAGTGGGATATTGGGTTCTCTTCCACTTCAGATGTCTTTTAGCAAGCTGATACCACTCATATCTGTTAATCTTTGGTTGTGGGTCACTTCTCACAAAGATTACTTTGGTGAACTCATTGCCCTTTATGATACCTTAGTTGTTTTTCAAAGCTGTATAAATTAGAACTTGAATTCTTTCAGCTGTGTAATGTACTCCTCAAGACTGTTCCTGGAAGCTTCGAATTTGGTCATGAACTAAGATGGCTGGAGTTAATATTTGTAATTAATAAGTAAATTACATACATGTTTGGTTTAAAGGTCACTTGGCAAAACAGTCAAGTTACCTGGCAACTTAAGCAAGAACTCATACCCAGGAAACTAATGGTAAAATGTAGTTGCTGGATACATGCAAGATATAGAACTTGAAATTGGACTGAAAAGCAGCTGCATTATAAAAATGCTTATGAAAAAAATTATCATGGAACATCTTTGATTATCGATGGACTAAGAAGTTTTGGAAATTGGTTGTGGCAGTTTATAACTTAATGGATACAGGGTGTGCAATCTTCACTGTTTCAAGTGTTCTGAGAAAAAAATATATGTGTAGTTTTACTTGCTGGATAAAAATCACTATCATCTTGCACAACAGGCAAAGTTGGCATTGATTTTATAACTACTGAGGAGCCATTATGACTATTTTCTCTCTGTTTCTAAGCATTCTGGTACACAAGCCTCTGTCTATCTCCCTCTCTTTTACACACACACACACACACACACACACACACACACAGGTGTACCCCAATTGCTGACCTCTCACCTAAATAGGATGCTATCAAAGGGAATGTATTTTAAAGAGCTTCTAAAAAGAAGTTGTTCATTATAGCCAGCATCTTTACCCTTAGCCCAAACCCCACGTACACTGCACAATGTACAATGTAAGGAGATTCCAAATGGAATGTTTAGAGGCACTTAATTTATTTCTGGGGTTGCTGAAAGATTTTTACCTTATCAATTATGCTGTCTGTGGAGTAAATTCTTTTTCCTCTTTTTTTTTCACAGACTTTGAATCTAAAGCCTAGAGCTTTAGATTCACATCTGAGTACTAGAAAACTTTAAGCAATAAATGGCTCTGTAATTTAACTACCTTGAAGCAAATAAATAGCCTCCCTTTGACAATGAATTGGAACAAGCTTGACCACCTGTATTAGCAGATTTCTCACTGAGCTATTGGATTTCATGGCTTTTTCCCCCCCTTTGTCCTGGTGATAACTGTAATTTATTATCATATAAACCTGCAGTCTGCAGGGTGTGTGAAACTTGCACTATATTTTTTGCCATTTAAGTATCTACTGAATCGCCTCCTGCATTCTTGTTCTTATCAATATCCTACGATGCAGGTTGTGATGCTACATTTTAAAGACTCCAGGATAAAAAAAGAAAGAAAAAAAAGACTCCAGGATTTTAAAGCAAAAATGCTACAAATAATATAAGTTCCCAATAGCAACCCAGAATGAACATGAAGCTCTCCAAGGGAATCACTCTAGCTAGCTTATTCCAATGTGTGCATATGAAAAATTCAACTGATTTGTCAACTAAGAGGAATCAAACAATAAATCATCCAGTAAGTGGTAATTGATTAATAATGTATAACCATTAACACAGACTAACATTTTCTGTATACTTGCTGTTCTGTCAGAAAGAGTTTCGAGGGATCAAAGGAAATGTTTCTTTGAGGAGAGCAGATTTAGAATATTTTAGTAATACATAGTGGTTAGGAGTGTAGGTTTGGAGAGAGAAACTTGGCCTTGAATTTTAGCTCTGATACCACCCGGATGTGTGGACTTAGTTGACTTATTTAAATATCTCTTAAACACTCTAATAATAATATTCAGATTATTGAACTAAGGACACCTGTCAGAGTTAATTCTAAAAAATACACAAAAAATTTATCATGGTGCTTAGATTATACAAAGAATTCAATAAATGTTAATTATTCAATGAATGTTGTTATTCATTACATTCAAATATGTTACTGAACCTTCTATAAATTCTGTATGCTTTAAGCAGTATATCATTACAAAACAGTCTCTTGAGAAATATAATAAATATCGACAAATATTTTTATTACCTGCTATGTGCCAGGCACTGTGCTAGGTGTTGGAGAATCAAGTTGAATAAAACTTCTCTCTTATTCCGAATCTGTAACATTTAGCCTATCTCCTGGGCTTGTTCCTGGATTGCTCCAGATAAGAATATTAGCTGTTATGGTTCTTGCCAGCCTCAAAGCATTTAGAAGAAAATCATTAGCTAAGGACTATGTTTCTGTAAGCATAAGAAGAAAAGAGCTGAGGACACACTAGCTAAGAATAGCTTCACCTTGTAGGTGTTTCTTTTCTTATTAATGAGAAGCTTGTAGATGGGTAGTGAAGGGCAAATGCTGTGGTATGCCCTCAAGGATCAAGGCTTGTGTGCCATTCCTTATGGGTGGCTTTTATCTGTACATATACATGTTATTTCTAAAGCCTAGGTGTGATAGCCCCATCTAAGCCAAGAACAACAAAAGGATGCAGGGATCTGAAGCTAACGGATCATTCTGGCTGATTCTGTCCTTTTAAAAGCTTTCCCAGAACCTAACTTAGGAACTTGTGTTTACATCATAATGGCTCAAATTGAGTCATATGATTCCCCCCTTAGCTGCAAAAGAGTCTGGGATTATGAATAATTTAGCTTCCTTGCCTCTAATAGAGAAAATTAAGAATAGTTCATCTTTTTGGCTGTCCAACATCCATTACACCATTCTTCCCATTAATACATTATGGGTGGCATGCATTCATTCCTTCCCCAAAGAAGCCTACCTCAAAGCCTCATCCTATAAGCACATCTGGTGATGCCATCATCCCTAGCGGGCTCAGACACAGCTTCTCCTCGTGGCTTAGATCTCATAAGCTTAAAAGACAAGTTATCTGTCCCAACTCCCACAGTACAGAACAATAGATAAAAAATAAGATACATGAACCTAAAGGAAGACCAGCAGAAATCGTTCATTGCTAGTGTATACCAAATCTTGGGGGCAGGAATATAATTCCAGCTTTGTCAGTACAGTAAGTTCATTGGTTATTCAGTCATATAATCCCTGTCTGACTCCTGAAGAAATCTTTCTTGCACATTATTACTCACTTAGGCCTCACTGGAGGCTATGCAGCTTTAGAAACTAAGTTTTCCAGAACGCAAATCTGGAGGCTCTGGAATGGCTCTAATATTGAATGATAGCAATTACTACCAGCCTTGCCTTGAGTTATCTCAAGTGCAGCAGGCCTCTTTCTTATTTTCTATCTGGCAGTTCTGAACACAAGTAAACAGAGCATATCTCCTTCTAGATGAAAAGTTCACAGAGAAGGAGTTACCCCCTCCTCAAGGCCCTTACAGAAGGCTTTTTCAGGTCTACTATTAGCATTGCTATTCCAATTGCCAAAGGTGATTCACCTCACTGTGAGATATGTAGAATAAATCAAAGTTAAGCAATCGCAAAAGAGACCAAGTGTCCAAGAGGATGTCAAGCACATCAAGAATAGTATAAAAATCCCATGTCAACTATGGCAGAAACCAGATTGGAACCAGAGGAAAGAAATTCTCTTCCATAAGTCAATGACCTTAATAGTTCTCTTTAAGGAAAAACAAACAAACAAAACATGAGGGTTTTTAATTTTTTTAAAAATTTTTATGAGTTTTTTTTTCTACTTAAGATCAGAAGTGATAAAAAGTGAAAAAATTAGTGACTACAGGAAAATAAATTCTGTAAATTC